CTATACACTAAAAAAAAACAGTCGGCTTAACGATCGGCACTGCTGGCACAGCTGCGGCACACTCGGGGCACACTGAGAAAAAATGCCACCTTTTAAGTGTGTCGAGTGACTTACCCCTTGGAAAATACCCACATCTAGGCTCTTAAAATGTCGATTTCCGGCCTCTCTATATCATCCCTTTTCCGGTTCCTGTTCTCACATTGCACAGCAACAAGCTTTCGAGACATAACATATTAAGGAATAGGAAGTTCATGTGCACACTAGTGCCGCGTAGTGAGCGAGCTCTGAAATAATATGACTCGCTCTCGAGGCTCTCGAGATACAGTTTATTTAAGAAGTTTATGTGCATCTAGCGCTGTGTAGTGAGAGAGTTGTGAACTTATATGACCGATGGTGGTCATATAAGTAAAAGGACATGATCACCTGAACAACTTTGTTAAAGTCAGTAACCTTCTATATGACCAGGATTTTGAGATGCAGCTTAGACAGGAAGCTCATGTGTATACTAGCGCTACGTAGTGAGAGAGTTCTGAACTAATATGGCCACCATCCGAAAGGACTTGGTCACCTGAACAACTTCGCTGAAGACAGCAACTTTCTGTATGGGCAGGATCACGGAATATTCTATGTTGGACCCAAGTTCCATATATTATAGCGCCCGTCATAAGAAACATGAAAGTGATGCCCTTCTAGCGGCGTAGTTCCCAATTAAACCTGAATCCAATGACACAGGCTTGTTGGTCTAGCCCAGTGCAACAAGTTTGTCGAAGACAGTATAGCTTTATATATTGAACCAAATGAGATAATCCACCGCAGCCGCTATTAGTGAAAATCCCATAAGCTGAGAGTATCCTTATTTGCTGTTCCTTATTCACACCCCCGTTACCTCGGCAATGAGGATTCCTGACTGTAGTTTATATGGTGATTGCTGTCGTACGTAGCTTAAAAAGCCATATACAAAATTCCGGAGAACTTCGAGATTAGGGCGTAATTGCTTTTCTAAACAATTACCAATTTACCAATTTCTCGCGAACTAAAGCTCAATCTAAAAAACTAACAACACAAACAGGTAGAGGAATGGTTCTTCTATCATTTAGTATAGTTTGTTTGCGAGATTGTTCTTTTATTCGCGAGAAATCGGCGATTAAACTGTTTGTTTACAAAAACAATTACGCCCAAATCTCAAAGTTCTCCGGAATTGGGTGTCCGAAATTTGAATCTTCCCAAAGACATGTGTCCGTAGTTTGAATTTTGGTAGCCCTAAATAATGTGTTACCATAAATTATACTAAGCATAACTTGTCAAAAGGACTTAAGTCGCATAAATAAACAAATCTATGTTTTGCTTCAACGGATTATAAAATACATGCTTTTCCTACGAGTTAATGAAATGATTTCGATACACCCTTTTATTGTCAACATGACTAAATTGTCAAAATGTGATAACATAAAAACTGCAGCTACGCTCACAATGAAACCACCGACAAACCGACATGAAACTTAAACTTAACTCTTGATCGAGAATCCATAGCGGCCGATTCAAATGTGCAGCGATCCCGTCTGTCAAAACCATTGAAATGTTTTATATAGAAAAAAATAATTTGTCCGAAATAGATTAGACACGAACAAACTCATCAATTTTGTACGCGTGTTCGTGGCTAAGATAAATATTTTCCCAGATCCCAGATTTGAAAAAAAAAATCATACTTATGACTCGTGGAGTCACAATTGTCACGCTCTGAGACTTGGAAGCATTTTAAGGGTTATAACAAATTACAGAACAACCTATAGAATCTTGCGGACAAACCCTGGAACTTTTAGTAAATTTTAAAAGAATTCAAAGTGTTGATTTCAAACAAATATTGAGAAGGATTCCCACACAGTTTTCGAAGGAGAAGTTCTGAGCAGAATTCCAGAATTATTCTGACATGAAGTCCTTAGAAATTGCTAGATGATTTTGGAGGGATTTCTGTGGAGAAGATTACAAGTTCTAGGGGAATTTACGTATTCTCGGCAACCTAAGCAGCGACGTTCTTTCTATAGCCTTTTTCTCTATGAAACGCACACATATGCAGTATTGGTTTGTTTACGATCTTTTGCTGCCAGCTGCTCTAACAATTTCAGTCGAAAGAATTGTCAAAAACTGTTTTGAAACGCTTTTACAAAGCTCCAATCTTCTCTAGTGAGAGCGAGTATTGTCGGCAACCAGTTTTTCTTCGGCAACCGTTCCATTTGAACTGCGTGTAAATCTGCTGTTCTATTATCGGCAACTCGAAATCAGCTACAATTTGTAGTGCGTGTGTTGCATTTCAAGAAAACCTTGCTAGATTGCTTTTTCTCAGTGGTAAAAATATAGTCAGATTGAAGCTGAAAGCATAAAGAATCGTTTGTATGCATTCAGCGAAGTGTTTTCGTAAGAAAATCCAGTGAAAATAATGTTTCAATTTGGGTTGCCGAAAATAGTCTGTCATGCCGAAGCCGTCATTTCCCCTATATTATATTGAAGGTTATTTAGAAGATTTCAAAAGGAGTTGTGAAAAACAAAACTTTTAGAAAAATTCCTACGTGATCCTGAGGAGATTTGTATGGGGTTCATGAGTAAAATGACAGAGAATTAAGATCAGAATTCATCAAGAAACAGACTTCTAAGAGTGTTCTGGCAATAATTTGCTGAAAATAAGAAACCAATTCTTTAAAATACTACAAACGGTTTCTAAATAAAATTTCGAAAGATTTCTGCTGTTTTGACTATTTAATTTTTTTTTAAAGATTTTCAAAGGAATCAAAGTCTCCGAATTGGTTCAAGAGAACTCTAAGAAGGATTCCAATTAAATTCTTAGAATGGGTTTCAAGGAAATTCCAAGAATAATTCAACGGTATTTATTACGCGGAGTGTTTTCTGGTTAATTTCCGAAGAATTCCATGATGATATCATATCATGAGAATTTTGAACAACAAAAAATTAAAACCCCCGAAAAGAATTATTTAGTTTCGATGTTTACAAATATTTGTTTCCAAAGTCCAGCATCTTCAATATTTTCTTTCAAGGACCATGCACTTTACATCTGGAATTGAAACGACGAAAATCAATTTGCAATATTGCTGAGTGATTAAATTCAAAAAACAATAAGACGGGAAACTGGAGAAAATTATGCAGTAAATTCAGATGGTAAAGCATCACTCAATTTTAATGGTTTATTCTGAAATTATTGTGTAAAAATGTGTTCCTATGGTATGGTTTCCCGGTTCTCTCGTCGAATTCCTGGGTTTTCCCGGTTACTTTTAAAATTCCCGGATATTTCCCGGTTCGCTGGCCACCCTGTAGGTATGTTTAAATATAAAGAAATATTATAGGGGAAATGTTGGCTTCGGCAATACCTTAACCTATTTTCGTCAGGGGGTAAATAACGTCCGTGAGAGCTCAATTTTGGTATGTGGATACATTGTGTTTCAGAGCATGTATTGGCCAAATTTGAGTGCTCTAGGACTTTGTGTGCCCCCTGACGATAATAGGTTAAGGTATTGCCGAAGTCAACATTTCCCCTAAAGGTTTTGTTTAGATGCGGCCACCCAGAGTCGTAACAGTTTGCTTCTGTACATATTTCCAGCGCAACAGACAGTATCCTTAAAACAGCAAAAAAGGTTATCTTCCATTTAATTCCACTAGGTAAAAAAGTCAAGATCATAGGTATAAAAATGAAACTACAATGTGTTGAATCGAAACCTACCTAACTAATAAAAAACAAAGATTTTCCCTAAAGGTTTTGTTAAAGGAGAAAAATCTATACAACTCTCTAATAAGGAAAATCCTCAAAGGCCCCTGTTTTATTTAGCATTCCGCTTAGCTACTTTAGCTTACTTAAATTTTTGGTTTTTATTAGTTAGGTAGGTTCCGATTCTTGAGTACTTAAGGGGTTAGATTTTGATAAGTTCTTTAGTGGGAATGACACTGATGAAGACTGAACATTGTTGTCGAAATACGTATCTGCCATGGATACCAAAATTAATTAAGTGGAATTAAATGGAAGATAACCTTTTTTGCTGTTTTATTTAGCATTCCGCTAACAACCCAATTTCTTTACTTCACACAGTATCCTTAAGTCTTGAGTGAAGATACGCCCTTCACTGCAAAACAAACACCGGTGTATCTGATCTGACGCATGTGAAAACCGATCTGTCAAATCGACGAATCATGCAGGGTGTATGTAAAAATCAAAATGCGATACCGACGAATCAATATTGGTGAGTAGCAAACAACGAAAAGGTGTATCATTTTGTTTTATCCGTGTTTGCAAAAACTCAACATTTTTCATAATTCTCTTAAACGTCATCCCTTTATCCAACTAATAGCAGATACAGATAGAAAAAAGCATCAACTTTTAAATAGGATTTCATAATCTCATATGGACATTGCTATTCAATGTTTCCAATTTCCTTTCAAATGTTACATACGTCCCTTTCAAAAGTTATGCTTGATATGTTCGTTTTTTGCAGGACATGCCATAAGTGTCCGAAATATGAATCATAACGGTATGCTGTAATTTAACACAGTTCCAAAGGAAATATTGCGAACCGAAAGATATATTTATGCAAACCTCTTTAAAACAGATCACCCTACCTACTCAGCTAAGAGATGAACTAGCCTCAGGCTAAAAATCTCTATAATAAAGAAAAAAAAAAAAAAAAAAAAACCTACTCAGCCCCACTGACTGGATTGCCAAATATTTAAAAACTCTTCCTCCCAGAATAGAAATACCAACGTAATCCGTAGTACGCTAATGGATCCATCAAATTTTGATGGCTGACTAGAGAGTGAGAGATAATAAATTTTATTGGCGCTTCCGCATCGTTTGCCTGGCCGGCCACCCCAACCAGCTGCATCGGAATGAACCCATCATCTAACATCGTACTACCACCACTTAACAAAGTCCAATGTCGGTACGCACGTAGGTAGCCGAGGGATGATGAAAAACGGTGCGAAGAATGTGAGAACCAGCTTACCCGAATCCGAATCCGAACGCTGATCGCCGGTTGGGCGTACTGGCCGCCGCCGCCCGATTGGGATTGTATTTGAAAATTCCGGACATGATCCCTCATTTGTGGTAGATCGGAAGACAGAGGCTGCTCCCTCCTATATGGACACGTGGGTTCTGCGCTGCACGACGCCGCCGATGATTCACTTATCAAAACAAATCGTATAAACCAGCGCTTGCTGCGATGATGATTCTGTTTCACTGTTCACTTTCACACTTTTCCGTCCATTTTTTTTCTGATGGAAATGAACTAGATTTGCGACGTAGTTTTATTTTTCACAATCTTGGCACGTGCCTAGCTCTCGCAGAGTAATTATTTAGCGGGTTTTTTTTGGCACTGATTTTTCACAACTTATGTTATTTTCTGCTGCTCACAAACACGCCTGCTATTTGTAAATAAAAGCATTTAAAATCTTTGCTACGGTGGATGGTGTGCGAAAATAATTTGACGTTTTCCCAAAAATAGACCTATAATATTGGCATAAATTCCAATTAAGAGTCAAGATTATTTGTTTTTGCGTGGAAATCCAAGGAGATCGTAACAGACTACGCCTACGGGTGTAACCTTCAATGTGTAAGCTATAAATAAACGGTTGTTCGATTCCAGCGTTTAGTAGCGATCCTTGAAGCGATTGTTTTGAGTGAAAATTTTCTCACATCAAAATTGGCAGCGCTTCACATAAACGAAACCGACCGGTCATGTCGTTAGGTACCTAAAATTTGGTTGTGGTGGATAGAAAGCAGATGTGAATGTGGAAATCCGTTGGGATTTCCGGACAAAATCTCAGTCCAAACATTGTTGACGCCCTTTGTTGTTGACAGGTAGTATGTATTGGCGCTAGATGAACTGTTTCTTGTTTATCAATGACACTCTACAGGTACTCTTGAAGTATTTCGTTACAAATTCTATGCTTCTAGGACTGACTTGACAGTTGAGATATCGATAATTTCACTGTCTCGATCGTCTAGAACGCAAATTCCGATAATGTTATTTATATGAATGATTTACTTGACTAGCACGCGCAAAAAATATACAAACAAATTTCGCCTCGCCAGCACGTCTGTGCTTCTGCACGAATCAAGTATGTAATGCAGAAGGTCTGAGCTGAACGAGTGTATAAATATTTACATTTGCGGTCGAACATGCGGATCCGTTGTTTGCACACATAGAAAAGGATATTTGTAACAAATTTAAAACCAAAAAAAAAAAAACACGCCTCTACAGAAATTAATCAAATCAAAACTTGCTGCATTGTGACAGATTGCACGGAAAGATCTAGTCATCGGTGAAATCGTAGCTGCTGACGGGAGGAAATCCCACACGTCTCACCCGTCAGGCCTACTGCTCTTGCTATATGGAAATAGTAAACAAAGATAAACAACGAGCACTAATGCACTCGTGATTATTGCCAAATCCCATCATCTTTCACCATCCGTTCTGTTTGCACGCACGCACTTACGCACGCATAGCACATCCGACGGGGCAAAGCAACGGATCACACTACACCTACGGTGGTACCGAGATCGGGAGCATAAACGGTTGTTATGAAACTGCTTCCCAGGTTTGAATTGATTTACGGTTTGATGCAAGGGAAAAATACAAGGTGCAGCAGCACCACGGATCCACGGATGATGACTTACGGTTTTCACGCTAATTAGCGGCGGCCATTCCAACCAGGAGGAAATGACACGAATCTGGTTCGTTTCCTTCGCAACTCCGGTCCGAAATAAGAAAAAGCGCACGCAGGGATGATGTCTCTCGGTAGGCGACTTCAAAGAATTTCACGTGTCGTCGTCGTCGTCGTTGCGAGATGGACAAGAGACTTTACGAAAAATTGCTGTACGTCAAAGGCGTAGGTACTGGCTGAGTATGATTATTTATAGAACGTCACATGTGTCAAATGGAGAACGGAGTTGGAAAAGCAACGAGACTGTCCGGTCAAGCGATTTGTTTACGGGACAACCGCTGTCATAGCAACGAACGTCCGCTGTTTGCTTGGATTGCAATATCGTCGTCATCATCATTAACATCATCATGGTGCACTTGCTCCTTGGCACAACGAAACGTGCGACGGCATGCGCAAGATTTACGATGTCTCGCATCGGATTTCAGATTTCATTCAGATCGGAAAACGCTCTAGATATAGATGAGCAACAAGTGTATCCGAGTGCTGCATTTCTGTAGGACGCCACGTGGTGTCAGCCAACCAGGGTTGAAGCAGTCAACTCCAGATGGAAACGGTAAATATGACATTGTAAACGAAATAATCTTTATTAAACTGCAGAAGATGACTTCAGCAAATGAAAGATACACAAACGATCTACACGCGATAAGCGTTAAATTCATGAGGGGCACGTTTTCGCGCTTAGTTTCAGTTTTTTCCCTCTATGTGAAACGCTCGGCCATGTTCGGTTGAGATAAAATTAAATTGTATATTTAGTCTGTGAGAAAGAGACGCATTAGTGTCTGCCGTGCCGGTGGCGGCGGCCTACGATTGCACTTGCAATCCCAAAGACTGCAGCAGTGGCATCTACGGTACGGGCAGCGTATATGTCTCTATTAGAAATTAGTGCACCAGACTCACAAATTCAGTTTTATCGAATTACCCACCAAGTGGCTTGAGGAGAGCGAGCGGATAGAAAGAACCAGAAGAATGACTCTCGATCGCGTCGTCGTCATCGCAGCAAGCACCAACTGGCGGCACTTGGGCGAATCTCGAAATGGAGCACTCGATTTATGTGCGATCTGTTGTCGGTGGATGGTTCTCGATTGCGATTGCAGCAGCAAAGGTGACGATGGATCCAAGTAGGCTCGGTAGAGTGCGGTTTAAGAGAACCGGAACTTATTTAGGTCGGATTCTGGGTACTTTGGCCCCTTTGGAAACCCGGACCCGATTACCAAAATAGCAACTGTCTACTGTGATTGAAAAGAACTGCCACCGTGATTGAAATTACTCATCCGATGATCCGATCGTCGCCAACGAATTGAACCAAAAACAAGAACGAATCTTCTGGAATTCTACGCCAGTGCAGTGCATCCCCAAAATAGAACCACTCAAGCGCCCGAACTGTTACAAAAGCAAACAAGCGCAATCTTTGAGCAAATTTCGAGCACACATTTCGATGATCGACACTCAATGTTGCTTTCGATTTGCTTACGCAACAGCCGCAAACACTTCTGGAAATGTTAAGAGAGCGCGATAAGAAGTTCAAAGTGGAGGACCCGGGAAAGCATTTTTATAAGAAGCTAAGTGCTTATCGCCATAAAAATATGAAAATTTTGAAACTAAAGATTTGGGCATGTGGTCGCGAGTTTTGCGGTGGCTTACTGACTGGACGTGCCAGCAATAACAATTAGCAGTTCACCCACGCACGGTCATGTTTTGCTCAACAATTCTTCAACCATCGCCATTTATTTATTCACAATTGAACATTTACAAGAGGGCGGGCCCGCAAATATCGCCAATATTCATATCCATTGATACCTTCAGAGTGCGCTTCCAGAGTTTTATTTTTATCCTCTGGCGGTGTTGGAAGTGTCGAACATTTGTTTCATTTTTCGGTTGATTTGTGAATGACCCCCTACACCACGTGCCGAAGGCACGCATTCCGCATTCACCGGGCGTGAATTCGAACACAGTAAGCGTAGAGTACCTAAAGGGCGAAATGCGAGCGCCACTTTGTATCACTCATTCGGTGCATCACCATAGCAGGCGAGGTTTATTACGTCTGGTCTGGATGTGGGAAATTTGATCTAGTTTACTTTGTATATTAAGGTATGCTTGCAAAATTAGTGTTCTAATTAGATGGAACATGTTTTCACTTCAAAAGGATGACTTAGTTATTCAGGGATAACTATAAGACACTTTTTGGAGGAAGGAAATCTCCGGATTTGATTCCTCAACCTACCTTCTAACTAGTAAAGACAAAGTCAATCGAGCAGGGCCTATCTTCGTAACATAGCATAGTCGACCAGGAATGTAATCTACCTGAGCATAATTAATAGCTCCAAAACAAAGCATTTCTGAGACTTGCTGTCGTCAGCAAAATTTCTTATTGTGATGAGGACCATCTTTTGACAGAAACGGATAATTTGAAACCAAGCGGTATTCAACACTGCACACCATAATCTGTGCTGAAGACTGTTCCAAGTGCTGTGCCGAACGAGTCGAAGTGTACCAATCAAGGTGTCATGAGTTTAGCAACCCTGAAGTTATAATGACTTTTGTGATTACCAACTTCTTTGACAGTTTATGGCAAACACTAAGCTCTCACTGTAAGCCATCCAATCTATACGGTGTTCAAGCAAATTCAACCTGTCCAAAAGAAACGTAAGCAGAAACGAAGGTTTCACCTGATTGATCGTGGACGAAATATCCTCCAGCTGCCTGTTAAATGCTCCCCTAAAAAAATCAAAACTAGAACTCGAACAGGTGTTCCCTAGAAACAACATCCTGGAACCAGCTCATCTGATCGAATCAGAAGTACGTGACCTCGAAGACCCATCACCCAAGCCTAGCGTATCGTTGATTACGATGTCTCCTACTCAAGGGGCAAGACAACTTAGATATATTGGAAAGTATCATCAATAATACCTAAATATCAAGTAATTTCAAAAACTTATATATGTAAACGATAAAGTTTTTAGTGCTGAACAATGCTTTCTCTACGGATACTATTGTGTTTAAGTCTAAGTCAAGAAAATGAAAATATCAAAACATATTTTAGTATATTCAGCCATGGTGTCCCATCCCCTATCCTCAGATTCTGATTCTATTTGAATCGTTATCATAATTAATTTAGAATGCCTGTCATGATTGAGGTTTTGTCATACGTCCCTTGGAATTTTTGTTACATACGGGGAATGCTCATCGAGATTCGTTTGGATCATCAAAATAATTTGAAACCAGCTCAAATTCCGCGGAAATTATCTACAATACTCCAGTGGAGTTTTTCTCAAAATTCCAAAGATGTTTGAACGTTAGGATGCGCCTAAGAATTTTCTCCTCACAATTCCAAAATCTCATCTGAAATTCTGTGTCAGAACTATATGCGAATTCTACTCATGATTCCTACTTCTATTCCCTAGAAACCCGGCACGAATGTTACGGTGATTGTAAATAATAATAAATCCCTAGAAGCTCCCCAGCGTTCCCAAAGTAGTTACCTTGGAATGCTATAGCAAAAAAAATATTTTTTTTAAGTTTCATCTCAAAGTCAATGGCATGTAATATCAAAATATACCGTACAACACAAGGGGTAGGTCACTCAGGACAGTGTGCCAAAAACACATATGGGCACACTCATTGGAACTGTTTGGCACTCATGGTACATATTTTTTATGATCTCTAAGTAACTGGCATCACTGTACTATTTCAGTGCCTGC